CGTCACGTAGAAATTGTAATATCAGGGAGTAGCATAGGTCTTCATGGCTCACAGATATACCTGAATGGCTTAAGTAATAAGGTTCATGCTAGCTTTTTATTTCGTGGTACCTAATAACTAAAACTGTTCAATCTCCTTTGGGGCTGTGCAGCGGGTTCTTGTGTCCAATAGAGTAACTCGGCTCTCTATTTACTCTAATTCGATGTATAAATTGTTTTTTTGAACATACCAAGACCAGTTGCACTTCTCATTCGGACGAATAGTTTGGAGATGTATGCATTGCTTTTGCGTCATTGCTGCTGTGCACGCGGACACCATCTGAGCTACGTAAAGATCCGTCACACTGGCTTATTGATCAACATGGCAGATTCCCGCCCCGCTTGCACATGTTAATGTATATTTGCAAGTCTTGGTTGTAGTTTTAATGTGTTTTGAACAGCATGATTGATAGTTTACAAACGTTGGAATATGGGCTCTGCCATGTTGGACTTCACAATAGTGTGTACCGGAGATGCGAGAAGATGGACCGCGTTGTGCGCGTGGTGAATACTGGTGCGATTGGAACCGACGTATATATCTGCTTCTATTACGGAGTGAAGGATGTGGATTGGAGTCAGGCATCTAATCCTTGGGACCGCTTTGCCACGCGAACGAGGTTCACCAAGGAGGCCAGGCTGGAGAGCGGAAGGTGGCCAGGAAGCTGAGAGGAAGCAGGCACGAGCAGATTGTACGGGTAATCTCACGGCAGTAACCAGATTCATAATAACATAAACAAATTCGGATTGCGGCGCTGCACTAGTGCGTAATCGTGTGAGATTTTCACACGCAGCGCCGTTTGAGAGTGATATATATTTCGAGTCGCGGTGTGGCATGTTCACAGAAAGATTAAAACAGATTCAGCCCCAGGAATATCTGTTTCATAACTTCTTTCTCGATAGAGTGGCACACAAATGCAGTAGCACTCAACCACATAAAGCTGATCTATCATATATTCATATGTCGATATTGCGGTATTGCGATATTGCGATATTGCAAAGACTTTACAGCCGGTATCGCTGTGCGATCTGTCGATCGTTTTCCGCGATCTTGTCATTGGCGTGACCTTCGTTCCGGCCGTTATCGACGTGTTTATGCGTTTCTTCGCAGGATGTCGTTGCTGTGTGAACAGCTGGTCGGGGAGATCGGAGACGAGGAGATATTCAGCACTTACAAGGAGAACCCGGACAAACTGGCGACCTTCCTGTGCAGGGGGGAAGGTCTGCAAGGAAGCTGCGTCGACAGGAAGCCGAAGAGAAGGAAGCTGAAATCCGGCGAACTGTGATTCCGTTTCTTCGCGGCGCACCGTTGATGCCCCGATCATTCCCAATAAAATGAAAACGTGTATACACAGTGTCTGTTCTATTCGAAAGGCATCAGCCGTGACGGTTTACGATCAGCCAGCTTTACCCACTCAAGAGGTTTTGCGAGTAATTTCATAAATATTTAACGTGATAGATTTTCTTTTTTAAAGTGCAGCTGTGTTGCCGCCTTGGTCGACGCTAGGCCGCACTAACTTTGCGTGAGGCTCCGAAACACAATCTCTGCGATTTTTGGATTTATTGAGTCTTTTTTCATTTTTTTTTTTTTTAGATACGGTTGAAACGTTTTCAATGGATTAGTTTACAAGCGTTAGCAACTGCTCGTTTATAAGCGAGTGCATCTTAATTTCTGAGTAAGAGTTGGATCTGTTTTTCTGCTCACGTGACACTGTCGTCCGGATGTTAAAGTGTGTAGTGGTGAAGATATTTGTGAGCGTAGTTTTCGTCATATTAAATCACAACCGACTGCTGTTTTTGCAGTGAATTTAGATCTGATTGCACATCACCAAAGCAACCGTTTTGCTAACGTAAACAAACTTTACCTGTTGAGGTGAACACCACGTTTGAATTTACATTATATGCACAAGTCTGTGATAGAAATACCAAAAATTTTCGAATTGTTAGTGATCACGTTTATACTGCCATTAATTTAAATCTCGTTGCAATACGGTCGGACCTCGTTCGCAACGCAACTCTTGCCGAAGTCTCGCGGGGGTTAAATTAATCGCTCGTTCGTGGACATTCTTACTGTTACTGCCATGCTCTTGTGTGGTTCTATGTTGGATTTTCTATAGTTACCTGTGCAGCAGCAGCTGGCATGCATACACAAGGTCTATAATCGGTTCTTAGTCGGGCGACTTTGCGCGACAGCGCGGTGTACATACAGTGTAGAGTTGTTTGTGCCTCCCGACGATCATTAAGTCGGACGACGGTCTGAAATTTCCAGCACTTTGCTAAGAGACGAGTGAGCACAGTGGCGTATTTAGGGGGGGGGCAAAGGGGGCACGTGCCCCGGGCGCCATGTTCAGGGGGGCGCAAAAAAGGCAAAGGTAAAAAAAACGCAAAAAGGCAAAGAAAAAAAAACAATCTGCCTACTAAATGATATCTTGAAATAATTCAATCCTCTATTTGACAAGTTGATTACCCAGGGGCGTGTACAGGGGGGGTCCAGGTGGGTCCGGACGCCCCCTGCTTGCGAAGGGAGTCTAATTTCAAAAAATTTCTGGGGGACGTTTCATTCTGGTAGCTGTTGCTGATGCCGTAACAAAATCTAACTGGCGCGGTGAAGATGTGCGACTACACGGTGTTGTCGTGAGCGATTCGAGTTTTGAAATGGCATGCATGATGCTGAAGTTGCATGTAATTCTTGAAGAACCACGTATTAATTGAGCTGCTATGATCGATGCTCTGGTGATTGTTCTTTTACGTTGTTCTTCTGATATATGTTTTATCGCCTATTATGTACACGTATATATCATGAGTGAAGACGAACACATTTTTGATTATATAAGAAACCTAATATATACTTCCTCTTAATGTATAGGAAGAATTCTCAGCATGGCGGGTAATTTTTTTTTTTTTAATAATAATGTACAGCACATAGTTACTGTACACGTGATCCATTGATATATGCAATTGTGTGAATACGTATTATACGTACTGTCATTAAAAAAGCACTGGTTACATCATTGATGTACGTATGACAGGAGGAAGGTCTGCAGTAATCTTTGATATATGTAGTTTGTATGGAAGACGTGTATGGAGCGTGGGGTTAGCCGGTAGGTAGAAGCCCCTAAATATGCATGGTTCACGTACAACTCTGTTTATTGTGAGCATTTTGCATTTCTTTGCAGAACTGTCCAGCTTGTACGAGTTTTAGCAATGCAATGTAGGTCGAAGGGATCCTAACAAGGAAATAAAAAGGCTGCTTTTCTTGAGTTGTATAGATTTCAAAATTATTGCGTTACTTTACAGTATGTGGACTGCACAGACACAACCAGCACGTGGCTTTGCCCTCTCAGGCAAACGGGTTAGCTACAACCACAGGCACTTGGGACAGAATTAGTAAAAACCGAGAATAATATTAACGTGGCACATTCACAAAAACTACCCATTTATTGCACTTCCACTGTGGTGTTACTGTATGTCGACTTGCTTTTACAAAAACTGATGTAGAACTAGCCGCTCCTGCCTCTCATCGTTGCGGGTGGCGGGAGCGGCTAGTTCTACATCAGTTTTTGTGAAAGCAAGTCGATATACAGTGACACAACTGTAGTGGAAGCGTAATAAAATGGGTAGTTTTTGTGAATGTGCCGCGTTCATATTATTCTCAGTTTTTATTAACTATGTCCGGACCCAAGTTCCTGTGGATACAACGTACGCTCTATAGGGGGACCTATTACGTACTGGGCAGCGGCGACCAGCAAGTGTGCGATGTCGCAAAGTCGCGCGATTCGCGATGTCGCACTTTTCAATGAGAACCACATGCCTGGCTGGCACCCTATTACAATAATGCACAATTACAGTATAATAAAACAGAACCACATGATGTCGATGTCAGGATAATAAAAATCAAACATAATCATACCGGTAATGAAATAAGAAGAATTTGTTTTTATTCATTCCTGAAGCCTTTGTTTATGCACCGGGTTGACATTTATTATAAGACGTAACGTAAGGCCATGCAGAGCAGGGTGGGGTTTCCCCGTTGTCGTGTTTGTGGTGTGTCGTCCCTCGTCTGGCATTGTTGACTATAACGACACTATTGCACCGGAGCTAGAACGTTTGCTGGGTTTGGTACTGAGGAGCGAGCGCAGTACAACTGAGGCACTCTGGTGGCTAGCGGAGTCCGGGTGCTGACGATACGGCCATTTCAACGCATCTGGACACACTAGGTGAATGTTTCTACCTAAGGTCAGACGACCCCTGCGCGTCACGCCCAAGGCCGTACGCAGGAAATTTTCTGTAGGGGGCAAATACGCAGGAAATTTTCTGTAGGGGGGCAAATACGCAGGAAATTTTCTGTAGGGGGGCAAAGGTACTCCCCACGCCCTCTATTGCCCTATTTGTCCCATTAAAAGGCATACTCTGAAAATCTCTAGGGGGGCAACTGCCCCTGCTGCCCCCCTGCTGCGTACGGCCTTGGTCACGCCCTAAGGCCTAACAGGCCTTGTGCAGTATTCTTATAGACAGACTTGAGGTATACTGCTAGCTGCTGCTAGTTACTACGTTTTGACTGGTGGCGCCATCGGGCGTCGCCAAGAGACATAAAACGTTACAGTACGTATAAGCAAAGAGTGTACAATTTAGAACGGAGAAAATAATCGTGATGTATTATAATTATCATGATGTAGTAAATTTCTCTGGTAATTCTACTATGATAAATAATTAGACGCCTTTTCCATAATACTGATGAAATATTTCGACAATGACTCTAGAGCGACGCTAGATGGCGGCAATCGACATAAACAAGAGAAAGCATAAACACAGGTTTGGAAGACGCGCCACCTATGGGCCATTTTGACTCCAGCCGCTGGGTGCGTTCGATCTATACAGCGGAATGGAAACCAAGCCAGCCCAGTTCTAGCGTTTTGTGTGAGGTAAGTTCATATCAAGCATGAGCATAGCTCTAGGATTTAACCATAGCTCTAGTACTAATACTATACAGACCAATCATCGTCTTAACCTTTGTTTATCTATAGCCTATAGTATAGGTCTTGTTTCAGTAAGGAGACGAGAAATGTTACTAAATAGGTTAGGCCTTAGGGGCCTAGTACTAGTAGTACTACTACTACTAGTAAATACAATTACCGCGTTCACACGGTCATGGTTTGGCTCCGGCTAAATGGGCTAAATTTGGCTCAGGCTAAATTTGGCTCGGGCCGGTTTGAGTCGGAGCGTTCACACGTACGCAAGCGAATACTATTATTATTTAATATTTATTATTAAATTAATATTAATTAATTAATATTCATATTTATATTAATATTACGCAGCTATATATCTGTTGCGAGATGGCGTTGTGTACGATTCAGTGTTTACATCCGTTCCGAATTCAATTATCAATCTTGAAAACATATGCATCTTGATCAAATTTTTCGAATTTTTATACTGTTTTGGACTTTATTTCATCGAAGTACACGTTCGACACTCGCGGAATCTACCGCTCTACCGATTTAGCTGGTGCTAACATTTGGCTTGGGCCTGGTCAGACGTTTTCGATGGGACCAAATTGGCTCGTGCTAAATTGGCACGGCCCCGAAAAACCGCCCGTCTGAATGCTCGGCTCGAGCCAAATTTGGCGCGGGCCTCATTAGGCTCGGGCCAAAAACGTCCGTGTGAACGCGCCTAATAACCGCGTAACGTCATAAATGTTAGTCTTCGTTGCCCGAGAGACAAAAGGTTGATGAAATAGACAGATCAACACTGCAGATCGCAGTAGAAGTACACGGATACACAGAGGTAAATTAAAAGGAATTTATGTCATCCACGTTCACATCGGGTGCAGTCCGAGTTTCCTCTGACCAATGCCCAATGGCAATGCCCAGACCGACGATTTTTGGTGGATTTGTTGTGGGTTCAGGGTTGTGGCCAAACCCCACACCAAATCCACCAAAAATCGTCGGTTTGTGCTTTTTGTATTACGAGACTATACGTTATATCAGACTTCGCCATCTTATTTATTTGAAACTAGACAGAGGGCACGCAAAAAGAGTGCGTACCTCCGTGAGCGTGTAACATGTATACATGTGTATAACAGCTGGCTCGCTGCTGGCTGCTTCTGGCTGGATGCCTTAAGGCGAACTGCTGCTGACTGGGCGGCCTAAGGCGAGCTGGTGCTGAATCGATCGCGCCAACGCGTGTAACATGTATACATGTGTATAACAGCTGGCTCGCTGCTGGCTACACACACACACGAACACACACACGAACGCATCACACGAGAGGGATCACATTACCTCCCTGCAACTCCGTTGCGCGGAGGTAATAAAGCTGATGAACCTAGAATTACAACAGGTTGAGCCATGAGACTTTTTATGTAGCGTAATCTTAACCTAAATTAACTGAAAATAACCCGAGAACCTAGAGTAAACGATCCCTTTAACAGTAACACGATCTGAATGTCTATGGATTGAAATAATTACTAATAATAGACAGAAGCCATGCATTATTTGGGTTATCTACAGACACCCTAACCAAAATATTGAACCCTTTGAACAAGATTTACACATATCTTGGTTTTAGTTAATAAAATGAAAACCACCTACTTTATTTGTGGTGATATTAATATCGACTTATTAAAACATGAAATTAGTAAATTTACTAATAGCTACCTAAATATGATCTACTCCAATGAGTGCATTCCTTTAATTACCAAACCATGCGCAACACGCATAACTTCGACTAGCCGTTTGGCTAGTTTCATGTTTTATTCCTAATTGACCATTTTTATACTAATTGTAGCGGAATGACTACATTAACTTCTTTGTTTATTTTACATCTAAATTGTTTATTTATTTTCTCTTCATATCAAGCTCCAGCGGATCACACACGTTCTTCTTTATTTTCTTATTTTCTGCCTATGTCGTCTTATGTAACGTAACGAACGAACATATCTTAACCAACGGTTAATCTGAAACAAATTAAAAGAGCACATTTACTATTTACCGTGTGTGCTATGCTGTATGTGTAGTTCGCTATGGACAACAAACTTTCTGGTAAATACCATTCAAATACACGTACGGCAATCACAGCCGAATCTGCTACTATTAATTTAGAAAGACATTAATAATTATTTATAAACACAAATCCCTTACCATGCTGGGTTCCTTAGGGTTTAAAGGCGCATTAAAAATTCGCGTCTTCAACGGTAAGCCACAATAGCGAAAAGCCGCGCGCGTCACATCCCTTGGCAACTAGCCGGTATCAATGCGCTGCTGCATAAAGTAGTGCACCGCGTAACCACGTAGCGGCAGGAGTTGTCACCAACATCCCGGCCCCGATGAGGCTATCACTGTATCGGCACTCATTTCCTAACTAAATGATGACAACAGCAACTCGTTTATAACAGTCCGTGGGCACAGCTAGAGTCATCCTCTTAGTCTATGTTGCTTAAATCACACTAGCTCCGCTTCAAGTAGGCACAGCTTGTGCACAGGTCTCGTGTATAGTCCGTTCTGTATCTTCACTTGCACAGACCTGACCAATCCATCACCGGATGGGTAAGTCTGGGTGATAATCCCCAGAGGCCACTGGTAACGTGGAGTAGTCTCATTCACGAGAAGCAACAAGTCTCCCTTCTGGAAGTTTCTCTCGCGCTTCAGCCATCTCTGCCTCTCCTGTAGGGTGGGCAGATACGCCTTAATCTACCTGGTCCAAAATACGTCTGCTAAGTACTGGACTTGGCGCCATCTCTGTCTATAAGTGTCCTGCTGGACAAACTTTCTGGGTGGTAAGTCTGGCCCCGATCTCAGCAGCAGCAGGTGGTTCGGTGTTAAAGGTGCCGGGTTGTTAGGGTCGTCTGAGAGTGTCGTTAGTGGTCTACCATTGACAATACCTTTAACTATGCAGAATAAAGTTGATAGTCTCTCGTCGTCGATGGTTTGCTGGCTGACGATGCCTGAGAGGACAGCTCGGACGGTTCTGATTTGCCTTTCCCATACTCCACCCCTATGGGAGGCTGCTGGTGGATTGAATATCCACTGTACGTCTTGTTGTAGTAGGTAGTCGGCTATCTTCTGCTGATTACACACCTTTATGGCTTCATGTAACTCCCGCTTAGCCCCAACGAAGTTGGTTCCATTATCGGATCTGATGGTCTTTGGGTTCCTTCGTCATGCAATAAATCATTGTAGTGCGTTGATGAACGAATCGGTGTCAAGGCTGCAAGCAACCTCAAGGTGCACTGATCGAGTGGCTAGGCACGTGAATAGGCACCCATATCTCTTCACCTCGG